AAAAACTTCGGCCGAGCACACGCGAAGAAGCCGACGCCAAGCAAGCACCCGAGACCCCGTCGAGCCAATTTTTATTCCCTACTTCCCGAGCACGGTAAACCGACCTATTCCTATTTAAGGGCTGATATTATGTGTTCCTAATAATCAAGAATAATTAAGATTAATAAGATTTAGAGATATTAATGAATTCAAGAGAATGTAGATCCAAGTTTGATCTTGGTTCGAATTGTTTTTCAAAGAGGTTTTTTAAAAGTGTTTAAAATCTGAAAATTTGAATAATTATGCTTGCTTAAGAGTTAGGAAAATTGAGAATGTTAGATTAAGTTTATGTTGATGAATATTAACAAAAAGAGAAGAAAATTCGATATCTTATGCATGCTCTCATTGATCCTTATTCATGTTTATGTGATTGGGGTTAGATGCTGGAATTTATGGGATATTGGTCATGTTTTAAGACGTAAAAATCATGTTTCAACGTCTATTTTTCGCTAGTTTCTATAATCTAAATGAAAGTTGTAGCTGCATATATTAGGATCATTTTGGGATTTGAACCATGTAAATATGAGTTATTTGCTGCAAGTTGTGTATATTTTAAGAACGCTGCGCATGACAGATTTGGTCGGGTTTTTAGTATAGTTTCAAAAAACGGATTTTACCTTTTATATGTATGATTATGTGATCAATATCTGATTTATTGATGTTATGTGGAACCCTAGATGATGAAGATTAGTATTCTTAAGCAAGCTAAGAGTTCAATAATTTCCAAGACTTTAAACGAGTTTGATTTCAAGAGAGGTTTAAGCGATGCAAGGAAAATCAATTGATTTTCTCAAAGACTTAGATATGGTAAATTTCTTAATAAGTCATTTAAAATATGCCTTCAATAATGTAAGATAGTTGAGGAGTCGAGCCCTCAAGGTTTCTAGAGCATACTTCATAAATCAAGTCAACTGCACTACGAGGTGGGGAATTTCTATGCTATGTTCTACATTCCTATAATGGCTAATACTATGGTTGAGATCTGTAGCATGTTTAATTATGTACTAGCTTTTCAACATTTGAGTAACATCTTTGTTGAAATGGAATTTGAGGCTTCTGGCATTTGGGTAATACCATTTGTTAGATGGAAAAAAGAAACCAGTTGGGTAACACAATTTGTTGGATGGGAAAAGGAAAAGGTAAAGCTTCTAGTTTGTGGGTAACACCATTTGCTAGGTAGAAACAAGGCTTAATTATTCATGTTATATGTTCATACGATTTGTTATTATATTGAATGTTTTACGTAGAAAGTATTCCTTACTAAGTAAGTGGAAATGTTCACCCCTTATTGTTTTCCACACCCAGATTGATCGAGTTAGCAACGGAACAATGGTGAGGGTGGTCAAATAAATAGAAAGTAACTCGCTTCCGTGTTTATATGCTCTAAGTTATCTCTATTTTTTAAAGATTATGGTTATGAGATTTTCTACTTAAGTTTATTTTCAAGGTATGGTTTGAGTTCATTTGGATTACGATGAAGTTTTATCTATGCAATTTTGATGATGAATATGTGATGGACTATGCGTTGCTATGATAAGTTTACGAGGCTATGCAAGTTTCAAAGTAGTAGCGCCCTTGAGCTTTCAAATATTTTAAGAAAAAGAAAAATTTATTCGAGGATTTTAAGGTATTAAAAACAGGACGTTACAGTGTCGTTTGGACGAGACCGGCGGACGTGGGCACAATGAGATCAGTGGCCGCAGCCGTTTGGATGAGACCAACGGCGTGAGGAGACGACGTCGAGCGGCATGATGAGACCGACTGTCGTGAGCGACACCGGGAAGTGGCACTGAGTCGTCAGCCGGAGTTTGTGTGTGGGTGTGTAAAGTGTGTGTGTGTGTGTGTGTGTTGTGATTCCCGTGTGTAATGTGTGTGTCTTATGTGTGTACAGAGTATGTGTGTGTGCGTGCATTTAAGAGAGAGAGAGAGAGCATGTGTAATAGATAAAAAGACTGTCACCCTTATTAATGTAAATGTGTGGCTTTTTTCTGGTTGTTGGATGATTAGATTTGATGGCTAAAATGTATTCTTCTTATTTTTTTCACTGAACACTGTTTTCACCGAAACGCAACCACATATATATATATCTTTGTTGGTTAATTTTATTGCTCTGAAACACCTCATACAGAGAAAAAGGCCCAAGTGCATGAAAATTGGTTCATTTGAAGCATACGATTCATCACTCTTGGTGTTGAACCTAATTTATAAGCCTAGTTGACTATTTCTCGCATAACCAATTGATTTTGGATGAATCTCACTAAAATGACAACAAGGCTCGCTTTCTTAGGTGCGCTTCACATGAAAGTTGATGTGATATAAAAATAATAAAATATTATGATCATAATTAATAAAAAATATGTGATTGCGTAATTTATTGAAATATATACAATAATGATTTAACTTTTTTAGTCCTTATTGTTAGATATTGAAGGAAAAATTAAATTGAGTAAATCTTTTACAACCAAGCAAATAAGAGACGGTCTCATAACCAATTGTGAACTTAGTAATTTGACTCTCAAATTGACTTGAAATAGCAAAAGTTCGTGGTTGTTTAACAAACTGCTGTTCTCTACACATTAATTGGATCAATATATAAATGAAATTATACTTATTTAATTTGTTTAATTGTGTACCCAAAAATAAATTTTCTATTTTTCTGAGGCCCAAACTTTGAGTATATATTGAATGGTTTTAATGTCAGAAAAATGGCGGCAGCTCACCTAACTTGACACAGTACGTACCACCATTTTGCAAAGGATCTCTCTTTCAGAACTAACCTACCAGCACGAGAAGAGTTCGTGTGGGGGATCAATTACATATACACAATATTCTAATAAATTATTAATCTCACATACAATAGTTTGTTAGATTTGGAATTTAAAAAAAATATATATATAGTAGTCTTTAGCGCTGTTATAAATTCTTACCACAATGTATCCCAACAGATTTCTACCAACAATTATAACAAAAAATGTGTTATAATTCCCGTTCCAAAATTCTAACAGGAATATTCCATTGAAATTGATTTTTCGTTGGATATTTTGTTACATTTTCATTACTTCATTAACAGCTTTTCCGAAAGTTGGAATTATTGATGGAAAAAACAATTTCAATGAAAAATTGTGTATTCCAATAAAAATTCTTAGAGCAATAAATTGTTGGAAAAAATGTGTTGGACTTATCGAATTCTAACTATAATTTCTACCCAACAAAAAAATGAAGATTTTAGTATTGACCAAAAAAACAAAAAAAAAAGTTAAACTCGTTT